ATCTATCTATCTATCATCTATCCGTCCATCCATCCATCTATCTTTCTATCTGTTCATCCATCCATCCATCTATCTATCTATCTATCTATCTATCTGTTCATCCATCCATCTGTCTATCTATCTATCTGTTCATCCATCCAGCTATCTATCCGTCCATCTATCTATCTATTTGTTCATCCATCCATCTATCTATCCATCTATCTATCTATGTATCTATCTATCCATCCATCATCCATCCATCTATCTATCATCTATCCATCTATCCTTCTACCTATCTATCTATCCGTCCATCCATCTATCTATCTATCTATCTATATATCTATCTATCTATCTATCTATCTATCTATCTGTTCATCCATACATCTATCTATCTATCCATCTATCTATCTATCTATCCATCTATCTATCTATCTGTTCATCCATACATCTATCTATCTATCTATCTATCTATCCATCCATCCATCCATCCATCCTTCTAAGTGCATGCAGCTACATTGACCAGCAGGAGGCGCGCACGTCCAGCATAAGCTGCAGTTCTCTTCAGATGACAGCCGAGGGCCCCCGTACACAGTGGCTCAGTCTTCCGGGGTTCAAACCGTGAGTCCGCTGAGCTGGTGGAGAGTGAAGCGTCTCCGGTGATAACCTTCTTCTTTATCCGTGTGAGTTTTGACGTCGCAAACAGCGGACAGCAGCGAAACGTCCGGCGGCGCCACGACACCGAGGAGGGACCCAGTGAACTGCTGCTAACGGCTAACAGTGCTAAAGAGTTAGCCACGGCCGCACACACAGGTAACGCAAAGTTTTCAGCCTCGCCATTTCCTTGTATGCAAAGAGTTGTGCGGCTTTTCAATGACTCCAAACACGTAAAGTTAGTTTTTTTTTTAAAAGAAGTTAGTCCTCTGGGCCTCGTCAGCTAACAACACGGTCAATGGCTCTGCTGCGTTAACTCAGATGAGTGGTCAACGTTAAGCTAACACAGGGAGGTGAAGCCACACGTAGGTTCGCTGTGCATCCGTGTGTCCTCCATCCTTCAATACTACAAAGTGTACTGCAATTTAAACAAGTATCGTTAGTACTTCTGGAGGCTCTACTCGGTCACGTGACTCTGCTGCAACAGGTAATTCACCTGACATTGTGTTTCCGGCTCGTCATGTTTCAGCAGCTGTAAAGTTTAACCTCTGTTGGCTTCCTCTTCACGGTTTTAACTCTGTGCCCACGAGATAAACGTGATTCCCTGCAGAGTAATGAAAACCTGCAGGTGCACATCACTTCACATGTCACCTGTCTTTACTTGTCTTTACATGATCGGTTATTGATGGTAGCTCGGGGTCATCACATGCACCTGAGAGGAAAATGTACAGTTGGTGTATTTGCAAAGCACAAACTCCTGAAAGCAAATGTTGTTTTTTTTGGAAATTGATTAAAAAGCTGTGCACTGCTAGTAATACTCCCAGAGAAGCAGCTTTTAAAGCACAGTGACAAGGTGCTTTACAAGTAATAAAAGAAAAAGCAAAAGCAAACGATAGCAATTTGATGAAGTACACGGTTAGATATATAGAGAAAGGATATCTATAAAAATTTGTCTTTGAGGGAGAGTGGGAGCCCCGACAGAAAAGGCCCGGCCCCCTCTGGTCTCCAGCTGGGACTGTGGAATGGTATCTGCTCAGGACCTCAGGATACGACCGGGCACATAAGGTGATCCAGGATCTGAGATGTGCTTAGGTCCAATAAAAATAACTGATTTGTGATTACTGGTTAGCTTAAATAGCTACTTCATTCTGTTTTTTTCTTTATGATCCATTTGATTTTTTCTTTCAGATGCTGGGGTTTGCACTACAGCCTCAGTTTGGGTCTCTCCTGCCTTTTCATTAAAATCTAAGTGGCACAGCCAAGTATCTGCTTTTTCTGAACTCTTCCAAACAAACATTTGAGCTAGCAATGGTATCAAATTTTGTTTTATTTGCATAATGTAAACCACAGTAAAATTTCCCATCCATTTGTTTGAATGCATAAATGTATGGCTGCGTATAATGATTATTTGTATTATATATGTGGGTGTGAGTACTGTGCAGAGGCATCTATTATAACCAACTGTCTGCACTAACAAATAACCCTTCTAGAGGAATATCAATTGAAAAAGGTTTCTCATCCATCACATTTCTCCATTGAAATGTAACTGTCACTGTACTTTTCTTGTTCTGTACAAAATGAGCCAGTATATATGTTATTTCCAGGCACCATTATAAAAATAGAAAACTGGTTAGACAGGTTAACAAGGTTTTTCAAGCAGCAGCCTAATTCTTTTTTCTTTTAGGATTCTGGGAATACGTCCATATCGGCAGTAAGTGTTGTTAAACAGGGAAGTTCAGCTGAAAGGATGTAATGATGAACATACATGTACATGACTGGGGCCTAGGTAGTAGTGCACTATAAGCAGTCAGCCAGCTTGGTAGGACCCATTCACACCCTCCTGTCTGTCTGTTTTCAGGTATGTCTGAAGTTAGTCTTGAGGCTGAATCGGGGAGGACCTCAGCCGAGAACCCTCAGATGGAAAGTGAAGAGACTGACAAGGCAGAGGAGAGCTTGAGTCAGGATGTGAGACAGGAGAGCGTAGACGACAGTAGGGGAAAAGCTTGCACCGATGAGGTGCTGTACGACATCGCGATTGACAGCGGTGAGGAAAATGCAGAAAACAGTGAGGAGGACATTCAGGAGGAGTGTGTGGTGACTCACAGGGATGCTGATTCTGCACATGAGTCTGTCAGTGTAGACACAGTGGGGCAGGAGACAAATCATCATGGTGAAACAGCTGAGGCGCTGGAGGAAAGCGGAGATTCTCACACTGAAACAAAGGTGATATTTATCTTCTAGCTTTAGCTTTCCAGCTCTCCCTTGCAGCGCACCTGTTCATGTGGCTGTGTTGGTGGCGGTCTCTTTCCTATATTATCAAAGAATGATTGGGTTGAAGTTTGTTCTGGAGCTTTATCTGATTACAATCAAAAACATGAACCTGACTTCCAGCCCCGAGGAGTGTGTTTGTGTGTGTTTTCGCCTTTTGTTTGTGTTGGTAGTGGTGTTTCAGATTCCTTTCTGCTTTGTTGGAGGTTTTAAGAAAGATAGCTTGTGTCGTTGTTGCTCTTGGTGCAGTTGGTGGCTTTCTCGCTGATTGTGAAGTGTCTGTGATGTTCCGTCTGTGTTTGGGCATAATCAAAGCTTTGCTCAGTTTATTGGCTTTGTGTTACGTTGGCTTTCTCAATGTAAAATTTGCTCACTAAGCACTTTATTAGGAACACCATACTGGGCAGTTCCTTCCTTTGCTCTCAAATCAGCCACAATTCTTTGTGGCATTGCTTCCACAGGATGCTGGAAATGTTCCCTTGAGATTCTGGTCCACATTTTTCCAGATTTGTCAGCTGCACATTCCTCTGTTCTACCACATCCAAAAAATGTTCCTCTGGATTCAGGTCTGGTGAAGGGGGAGACAACTAAAATACAGTGAACTCACTGTCAGGTTCATGAAACCAATACTTGGTGCATTATGATGCTGGCAGTAACCATTAAAAGATGAAGATGGCCATGAAGTGATGCACATGGTCTGCAATTATAGTCAGAGAGGCTGTGGCATTCAAACAATGATTGGTTTATATTAAATTGGCAAGAAAATATCCTCCACACCATTACACCATTACACCACCATGACTGGGACCACCAGCCTGGACTGTTGTACCCATGGTTTCAAGCTGTTGATGCCAGATACTGTCTGTGTGTCCCAGGAGATATCATGATTCATATTCAGGATAAGTCTTAATTGTCCAGTTTTAGTTATGTTGTGCAGCCTCAGATTTAGGTTCTTGGCTGACAGGAGTGGAACTCGATGTGGTCTCCTGCTGTTGTAGCTCATCTGCCTCAAATTTCGACATATTTAAAATGCTTCGCTGCCCGCCACAGTTGTAAAGAGTGGTTATCTGTCCACAGAGCTGCTACTCAATGAATTCTCATGAATTTTCAATGAATTTCAGACCATTCTGTGAAAAAAACTCTAGAAACTCTCCATGAAAATCCCAGATCAGCAGTTTCAAAAACAATCAAATTGGCCCAGATCCATCACACAGCATTTATTGACTATATTCACTGCACTGCTGTCATGCGATTGACTGGATAATTGCTCAGATAAGCAGGTGTACACATGTTCCTAATAAAGTGCTCAATGAGTGTATATTCAGTATGTGTTATTATGACGTGTTTGAGACCTTCAGACATTATTTGTTGGTTATAATATTCATGATTACTACTGTTAGTAAGTCTTCCCTCCTTTACAGTCATTCACTTACTTTGTGTGCAGGTGAAAACACACATTTCCTCATAATGTTTTCCTATTTGTACGTTGGGTGTGTATAGAGTCCTTGAATTCTACATGCCTAGAGTCACATGGTTGGCAAAGTGAGAGGGATTTGGACTCCTGACTGCACATTCTCAGGCAGTCCCACATTTCTTGTGTTATTGGAACGTGTGACTCCTCAGGCTGCGAGCCCAGAGCCTGTATTGCACAGAAGATTGCATAAATTACAGAGAACTCCTCTTTTTTTGTTAAACCCTTTTCTTTTAATAGCCCTAAATTTAGCACAGTTGTCATCCAGAAATTTCCATCCATTCTGAATTCCTCTTCCAACACGTTTGCAGCTTGAATCCAGCATTGTGCAACATGTGTGTTGCTCAGGAGGCAAGATGAGTTTTTTTCCTCTTTGGCTGACACAGCTACTGTAATTGCACAATTAGCTCATTGTTGTTATCCCTCGATCCCTCCCTCTCACGTCAGGTTAGCTTGTATCCAGGATACTGAACTGCAGGGAATGGCAAACCATGGCATGCCATACCTTGTCCTTACATATGCCTGATTAACTCATAGTCACTTAACTACCTTCCCTGCTCCGCTGGGCCGACACTGTTAGCAGGCTTTCCTGTAGAATGTTTGCAGATGGTGGGTGGGATCTTTTTGACTCAGAGCCCTGATCATCTGTACATTCATGACTGAATTAGTTCCATAATGCTTTATGACACTTAAATCCAGATTTGTGGATAGTTATGGTTCAGCTGGAGTTAAAGGGGGAAAAAAACAGGGTCAGCAAATGTTGGTTACAGTCTGTCTGTATTTTCACCGTTTTTTCAGATGCATGTAACCTGAGATGTGCCTCTGTCTGACAATCTGTTTAAACTAGTTGTCAGGCAAGAGTCTGCCTTATCTGCATTATGAGGCTGGACAAGCCTAGTAGTGCATGTCTGTGCTGCCTGCCTGCATGCAGGCGTCGTGTGGCCTTTAAGTATTTATGTCCGCCGCATGACAATAGCAATGTCTTTGGTTGTAGATAAAGAAATGTTTTGACTCAGAAGAAGGAAAGCATCCTCTCAGTCAGCTTCCTCACGTCCAGCTTTGTCAAACCAGTTTGAACCCTTTCTTATTTGATCATACATCATGTTATTCAATCAATCATGTTAACAAAAGTCCAATATATATCAATATAATAAAACATTCTCTGAGAGTTTAAGACAGCAACCTTCAATCGGGACCAAGAATAATTATTTTATTTTAAAAGAAATAATATAATCACTTTGATATTCATTCAGTTATAAACCATATCGAAATGGTTATTGGATTTGAGTATCTCAAACATTATGGAACTAATTTCAGATAATCGTTATCTTAATAATCATAATAGATTATCATTATATGTTTTCTATTAACTTGACTGTAAAATATTTGTTTGGGGTCTGTCAATACAGGATTCAATACTACTTTATATTGGAAACAGACATCCTCACATTTCCAACCTCGATTTTGTGTATTTACAGAGGTTTGTGGAGTTTAAGTGTACTTTTATTCTTTAACACTCTGTTTTAGAATCAGATGTTTCTACCCAGTACTGCAAGGATTTCTATCATTTGGTCATTAATTACTAAATTAACTCAGTAAATGTGTGAGATTTAACAAATTAAAGTGTGTTATTGATATAAACACATCATCTAAACTCACACAGTGAAACCAGTCAGTTAGACGAGACCTAGATCTTATTACCTGGTGATCTGGCAGCTGTTTACATTATTTACACACCAGTTGAGGTCCAAGGATCTGTTTCAAAGGGATCTAATTGATCATTAAAATAAATTAAAGCAATTCAGTGGTGCTGCCCTCGCCATGTATGTTATTATTCTACATTTACCAGCTTTACATGGAAAGACCCTTCCATGCTCACATGCAAAGCTCTATAGTGATTAGATAAGTGGCCTAGTTCCCAGGTCCACTGTGATTAGGTCCAAAAAAATTTACTAAAAGTAGCACAGCTGTATTTTCAGCCTGCAGCATCAGGCAGCCAGTTCATTAAAGCCTGAACAAAACTTATCTGGTCACAAACTGTTGTCTCTACCCTTTGGCTCGCTGGGAGACAACATGTAAATATGCAGCTAGCCAGCCACCGTGTCACTGTGTCATATTAATCCACAGGGAAAGACTTCAACATGTCTGTCCATATGATTTTCAGTTATAATATAAATGGAGTTTTGTCTCCTTTCCAAATTTGACCACAAATGACAACTATGACAGAAAGATTCTATTTGATCTAAATAACTTATGTCCTTTCAGAACAAAACAACAACTGTAAACCTGTGTTGTCTGTCTGAAGCAGCGCTATGGAGAAAAGCAAATGTCAGAAGTAACTAGCTGACTGCATAGCGTCTTGGGTGTGTCTGTATTATACAGTAATCATGGCACTTGTAACATAAGTCGATGTGTGACAATACTCCACCAAACCAGGAGTTTTATGTGGAGGTAATACAAAGGTTGAACAGTGACAGGCTCTTACTCAGCTGTTTAGTTACATAATCACACAGCTCTGTAAACTGGAAGACAGTTGAAATTCAATGTCAGTAGTTTCTCAAGAACTACATACGCTGTGTAATGCTGTAATGATGCAACATAACTGACTTAAACCTCACTAAGCCGCTCGTCCTGTCCCGCAAATGAATGAAAAGAACAGTTGTAAGAGGATGGGTTGGCAAGAAGGTCAATTATTCCTGTAATCTGCTGGGATTGGACAGTTCAGTTGCACATTTCAAATGTTTTAATCTATGTTATTACAGTATTTTAAGGAATTATAATCCTAAACAATAAAGCTTTTTGTGATTTCATTGCATCCATATTGCAAATTGGTAAAATTGTCATATCTACAAATGACCTTCCTTTATTTTCCAGGATTTATTGGCCCAGACCAGTAACGTCAACTGTGGCAGTGTCCACAAGATGGCAGTCAACAGCTACTGTGTCCTACTAGTAGACCTTGAATCCTGTTTGCTTAGTGGTGAGCTGTCCTCAGGTTGTCAGCAGGAAGCTTTGAGCAATAACCTGCTTCATTTCACTTGCCCCATTATAGGAACGCACGATGGCTGAGGAGTCTCATAGAAGCGCAGCCGCTGAGATTCCAGTCACCAGCAATGGAGACCTGGATCAGAGCCCAGAGACAGTATTCCAGAGGGTAAGAGTTTATGTAGAGACTTTTCAGAATGTCTACTCACAAGCAAAACCTTGAATAGGTCATCAGGTTGACAGATGATGTCTTTAACAACAACAGTGACATCTCTGTGTACTCCACACTGCACCAACGCCTATTTTCATCATTAATTGACCATTATATTGTTAGAAACTGGGAAACGTCTTGTATATATTCAGATTCATTCATTCAAGAGTCCGACTGACATGGATTTTTGGGGCTGATGCTGAAATTAGTGGGTAAAAAAATTCTGATACTGAACCCCTAAGACAAATACATTTTATTGTGGTTATTACAATTAAAAGAAACACAAATACAACCAATACTAACAATAACCATGCTGAACCTATAATATAGAAAATGAACATAAATAGTTTTGTCAAATGAAAATAGCAAACACACCAGAAGGCACACACCACTTTGTTCTTCAGCCAACTGATACGTTTTTAGGGCCCTACTTCTTTCTCTTTGACCATCAAAACGTTCAAAAGTTACCATCATATATGAGGAAGACAAATGATCACTTTAGCACAAGTGAATAACAAGTGTTAAGTATAGAGATGCAGATGCTTGTTGAATTTTTTGGTGGATTACAAATATAGGAATTTCACCAAACCTTTTCACTGCCATTCCTGAGTGTCTACACGTAACCACTAAACCTCTTAATACAGCCCCTGTTTGAATTCTTCACAGGACCCTTACCCTGCTGGCCCTGGTGCCCTAAACCTCTCAGAGTCCTGTGTCTCCTCCAGCCACTTTGCTTCAACTACAGAGGGCATCATTGAATCAGGACCATACAAAGGTATAAACTCCACTCTTCATTTTCACTATGATTGTCTGACTTTTGTTTTTGCCTCGCTGACTTTCTTAAGATGCAGCAGCTCATTAGAAACATTCAGGTTTTATTTATTTATTTGTTATTTGATTTGCAGCATTCGGTGATTTTAAAAACCATCTCTATTCCCTGTGGCTCTATGTTGTGGGTTTTTTCTGTGTGAAATTAAAAAGGGCCGACATTTGAATTTGTAAAGGTCGACATCCAATTGAATATAATGAGGTTCCTCTGATCTCCAGGTTGTTACCCTCCTTTCCTTTTCATCATCGCGCCCCCTTATCACCCTTATTCCAAATGCAAATAAAAGTCTCCTCATAGAGCAGCAAGCTGTTGTTGACCGTTTTACCACAATGTTGCCATGGCTATTTCCATGTTATTGACACAGAATGAGGACGCTTTTGTTCATTAAAACATCCACTCTGCGACATGGGGAGAGCTGCTATTCAAAATAAAACCAAAGGAAATCAACATCAATGACAAATTCCCCCTTACACTTGTGTACGAGGAAAAGTGAAATACTAATGAATCATACTAGTAATGTATCATAACTCTGAATATCTCCCAGGGTCAGCAAGCCTGCCCTCGTCTCCCGTGGCACCTGTAGCTCCCAGCTCGGCTGTTGCCGGGCGCCTGGCGCGCTCTTCCAGCGATAGTCAGGCTGAGCAAGGTACCCGCAGGAGTATGAACGAGATGATACTGAATCATCACCATCTGCACACTAAATTAACCACAATCTACTCGCCCTTTCTTGGTTTTCATCAGTTTCTTACCTTCTCCTTGTTCCCACAGGCTGCGCTCCATTCAGAATCAAACCTTTCCTCTCCCCCTTTCTTGTTTATTGGCTCTGCAAACTTTGCCATTGCATAGGTCTGGGCTAATTGAAGTAGTTGTCTGCTTTGCACTTGCTATTTGTAAATGTTTATATTCTCCTTAGTGTGTTTTTAAAAATCTAGGCGTCACTATTTCTAGATTCAATGCAACTTCTTGATGCCTAAAGCATTTGCTTGGCTTGGAAAGAAAACTTTCACGTTTAATCTCAGTGGGTTCTCCTGCTTGCAACCTTTGTCATCGCAAAAGTTGGCACCGATAGTCCCGCTCTGTGGAGAACCGAAACTGACTTAATGTGGGAAAAGGTTAGACAAAAGAAATATAAATGCAAACGACTCATTCATTGTATACTTTGCCTTTCACTTTCAATTCATTGATTTCACAAAAGTAAAATAAATATTTTAATGAATATATTTTTTTCCAACTATCAGTTGGTAACACAAAACAAAACATAACTGAAAACACTGGTTGCTAAACACATGCTATATATACTATACAGCTATTTATAACTTTTATCAAACGGTAAATGTCTTGTATTTATGTAGCACTCTCCAGTCTTTTATCAATCAGTCAAAGCGTCACATATACCCAGTCATACATACGTTCATACGTTTCTATAAGCAGTGCTTCTTGAACACACGCGTTCAACAAACTGCCAGCACAATCATTAATGTATGCGTTTAAGTGTCTTGCCCATGGACACTTCACCATGCAGACTGGAGGAGTCAGGGATCAAACCAGAAGTTGGCTATACACGTTCTTTTTCAGATAACCCTCAACTACAGTTCGTCAGTTTCAGGACTCCATATCTTTCCTTCTGTGCCCAAAATTTTTGCTGCAATTGTAAGCACATTCAAAGTTGGTTATTGTGACTAATTGTATTCTCATTTTGATTTGAATTATCATAGATGTCACCCGTGTTCTCTCATGTCTTTTAATTTGTTCTGTGTTGTAGTTTCAGTGTCAACAAGACAACCTAATGACATTGTTTTGATAATAACTTGTATTCTGCCGCCCTAATTTTCACCACAGGCTTTCTAGCTTTCAAATCCTTTAACTTAATCACTAACTAAATGAATGAATGACTTTTAATTGTCCAGGCGCAATGAAAGCACAGCCAAACGCTGGAGCCGTGGTCCTTTCAGATGACTTAAAGAACCCAGCCATGGAAAAACTGGACCTAGTGAGAAAGTGGAGCATCAACACTTATAAAGTAAACCTCCCTGTCCTTGATTTATTTTTATGTCCCTCCTTCATTCTGCTACTCTCCTCAGCCTCTTTATCTTCTCTCAGTCAATTAGGTTGTTGGCAGACAAAGTGAATTATACCCCAAACTGACAACCACGTCTTAGACAAGTAATATACTACACCGTGTTCTTTTGATATATTCTTTCAGTCCGTCTCCCCCTTCTCTCTTGAGTCAAATACAAACTCCTCACAGTCACCTACAGTCTCCTAAAAGTTTAGCGTGTGTGTTAATCAGCCTTCTTTCCTCTGCAGTGTACCAGGCAGATCCTGTCAGAGAAGTTGGGTCGGGGCTCGAGGACCGTCGACCTGGAGCTGGAGGCTCAGATTGAAGTCCTTCGTGACAACAAGAGAAAGTACCAGAATGTGATAAAGCTGGCTCAGACGCTGGCCAATCAGCTGTCCCAGATAATGCAGACGCAAAGGCAGCTGGGTGATGCCTTCGCTGACCTCAGCCTCAAGTCTCCAGAACTCTATGTGAGTCCATATCTATTGATACAATGATTTGTTAACCTGTCTAGTTTCGTGGTAACAACAAAGTTGACTCATAAAGTTTTTATTAACCTCTAACACTCCTGTTCATCTGTTTGATTGTGTTTTTTTCAGGAGGAATTTGGTTTCAATGCTGAAACCCAAAAGCTTTTGTCCAAAAATGGAGAGACCCTGCTGGGTGCCATCACTTTCTTCATCTCCAGTGTGAACACACTTGTGGAAAAAACAATCGAAGACACCATGATCAATATCAAACAGTATGAAGTAGCCAGGTAACATGCACAAATATGTTTGAATTTTATAGAACCGTTTCTTCAAGCTGTGCCTGGTCAAGAAACGCTTGCCTATCAAACTTAAATCTGTAAATACAGCACTCGCATATCATCTTTATAAAGTTAATGAATGTGGGTGCAAACAGTCCACACATCAGCAGACAACAGAAGAACAGTGCGATTCATTCAGAGGAGTGTTTGTTTGCTGCCCTTTCACTCTGGACTGCTGCTAAATTATTTTTTTCCAGTGAGTTGACAGCTCTGTGACTGCCTTTTGTTTCTCGACAGCTGTTGATCGATGGGATTATTTGAGCTTTTCTCTAAGAACATCTGCCATGTCTGATAAATAATACTGATGAGAGCCGTCAGACTGAATCAAAACATTTAAAATCGCACAACACAAGACTAAAACAATGAGCTGAACAACATTAAAATGCTCAGTAAAACTAAGAGGAACTGCAGAGTCAGGTGATAATTCACCATGAGCAACATTTTACATCACACATTGTTAACGTCTGAATATTGATTGGGGCGGTTAAAATAGTCAAAACAATGTAAAACATATCTTGTGGATATATAATATAATCTGAGTTTGGGTGCAGAGGTTACATTAGATGGTGTTTAAAGGATGTCGTCACTTCCCCAGGGTTGAGTATGACGCATACCGCACAGATTTGGAGGAGCTGAATTTGGGGCCCCGTGATGCCACCACCATGCCCAAGATTGAGCATTCGCAGCAGCAGTTCCAGCTCCATCGTGAGAAGTACGAGAAGATGCGAGATGATGTTTCTGTCAAGCTCAAGTTCCTGGAAGAGAACAAGGTCAGCGAGAAGCTAAATCTGCTCTACCTCCCCCAATACACCATCTTCATCAAAGTTTAAATCTGTTTATAATCTCTGTTTTCCTTCCCCTGCTCCCTAACAGGTGAAGGTATTGCACAACCAGCTCATCTTGTTCCACAATGCCATAGCTGCGTACTACGCTGGAAACCAACAGCAGCTGGAACAGACACTCAAGCAGTTCCACATCAAGTTGAAAATGCCAGGTGGGGACAGTCCATCATGGCTGGAAGAGCACTAATCACTCCTTTCAAAGCCAGAGTGGCTCAGTTTGGGGTTTTGACAGGAAATGTCAAGTTGTATAAAACAAACAACAGGAAACCCTCTTCCACAACTACAACTCTACAACTGTCTCTTGAAATCTCCGAATTGTAAATCTTTTAACAAAAAAAAAAAATTCCACAATCTGTTTTACTCTTGTTCTTAAACAATTCTTTTCAGCTGTACATGAATTTCAAATCTTAGGAAATGCACTTTTATACTGTTTGACAAAAACGTTGAACAGGAGTTGCTGCAGTAAACACATCCGGAAACTGTTCATGGTCTTTTGTATTCCAGCTTATGAATGTTGTATCCCAGCACGGCAGACATGCTGGCTCTGAACGGGCAGCTACAGGATTTAAATCGTCTGCCATTTTGTTCACATTCTTTTCATTCTCTCACCAGCAGACTGAGATGAGGATGCATGCTTAATCAAGGAAGATTACTTAATCAACATTTCTGAGATTTTCCTTGACTCGTGTTGTGATAAAGGGGAAGGGGGGGGCATGACATTCAGATGTCTGGATTATGCAAACTGATCATCTTTACAAGCAAACACTGAATTCTGAAAATGGTAGTTTGACATTTGGGGAAATTTGCTTTCTTGCAGAGAATCAACACCATCTCATATTTGTCATTTAAAGATTCAGTGTGTACTGTGTTTCATCTAAATTGTACAAATTGTTGTTTTCTTCACCCTAAAATTGGCCCTTTATATTTAAATACTTTATATATACATCAGGAGCGGGTCCTCTCTATGGAGGCTGCCATGTTTTTTACAGTAGTCCAGACTAGACAAATTAAAAACCTGAAGCAACAACTGAAGCTACCACAGGTTCTATTTCATGTTTAGAAGGGGAGGGTGAGGTGAGGGGTATTCAGCTGCAACCTGAAACTTCACCACTAGATGTCACTAAATTCTATACACTGTACCTTTAATAAAAGCTAGCAGCTAGTTTGTTAGGCTTAGCTTAGCATAAAGACTGGAAACAGCTATTCTGACCCTGTCCGAATGTTACGAAAATCTCCCTAGTCTCTTAATGACACTAATACAAAAACCAAAGTGTAAAAAAAAAAAAATAAATAAAAAAAAAAGTTGTGGTTTTATGTGGGGCAGGGTGTTGTACCTTCAGGACAGAGGCGGGCAAACGGTTTCCCTGTTTCCAGTCTTCCTGCCAAGCTAGGCTAACAAGTTATGGAGTATGATATTTCCCTAAAGTGTCAGACTCTTCCTCTTAAATTGAGATTTAAAAGTTTGGCCGTTCAAAAATAAACGTCACATGTTATACGATGACGGGCCTCTTCAAACCTGGCATTACCATGTGTCACATAAAAAAAAGGTTCTTAAGCACCTATATGATGTGACAACCGATGGTTCGGACAGATTCGAAGGTGGTCTGGGACGCATTCAAGGACTATTTTCTCAATTGTGTTTGTTATTTTATGTTCTGGTAAATAGACATTGGAAGTGCTAATGCTGCCTCTCTTGTTTAAAAACAGTCAAATTCAGTCTTTGCAAACAGAAATGATTTGTGTATAGAGACATGTCGGGTGTGAACAGGGTGTATGTAGTCACAATCAAATCAATAGGACCCTATTGTATTTTTAGAAATTCCCTATTTTCATATGGCTGAACGAGTGTGTTGATTCTCCTTAATTCCAGAGAAAAAGAAGGACCAGCCTTATGTGACTAAATGTGCCTTGATTTCCTAAATTTGTTCCGCTCCTCTCCTTCATGCTAACTGGTCTTTTAATGGGAAACAGGCACTCTCACTACCAGTTTTCAGGACCCACTCTTGATGGAAGAGAATGGACCAAACGCACAAACACACACTCCAAGGATATATTTAAAGTCTATATAATGTGTAAACACTCCACACAAAAAAAAATGAAAGCTGTGTTTTGTTTTTAATAGTAAAGGCTCCATTAACTGTAGAAAGTCAAAATCTCTTTGATGAAATGATGTTTCTTAAGGTATTTATCCATATTGCACACATGCACATTAATGCATTTGAGGCTAATAACAAAACAACTTGTAAGAACTGTATGATATATAAGGTGTGAACCAAATTACAATTAACTTGAGAAACTTTTTTGTCTTTTGTAAGTTTTAAAAGACCAGCATCCTTTGCCTGTGCTGCTGAACGGTTTCCTTCATTGGGCTTTATAAAAGTATATTTTTCAAAGGGGACATCCTGGTATTTATAACCAGCCATCATATCCTCACTTTGTTATTTGTACTTTTACTACGGCTCACTGTAGCAGTGTGAGAGTGTGAACCTTGGACAACAATCTCTTGTTTCCTTGAAATAGGTGGAATTATATATATTTGTAATATTCTCTATTTTACCTTGAGTATGTAGTCTATGACCAATGCAGCCGTTTGGCTTTGTTTGTTCTTTGTTTCTTTTTTTTTTTCTTTTTTTTCCTGAAGACCCACAGAATGGTTTGCTAGTACTAGTATGTACTGGATCTCTACCTTTGTAATGATGAAACATTAACAATTTGTGAGTTAAAAAAGATTCAGAATGTTGTGGTACCTCTTTGGGAAAATAAAAGTTTCTTTTCTTTAAACGTCTCCAGAGGTTTTTTTTGTTGGGTTTTCATAATAGTCGCTTGAAAGTGACACGCAGGGGCCAACAAAGAAATATGAAGCCAGGTAACGTCTCCGAGTGCATTTGACTTATTGACAGATTGTTCCATAAACTCATTCCTTTCACTGTAATGCAACGTTCCATCAATTTGGTTCTGAATATCTAACTTTTCTAAAGTTCCTTTTAAAGGTCCAGTATGTAGGATTTAGGTGGAAGGGATTTGTTTTGATGATATTTTCACTAGTGTGTTTCATCTCAATTGTAAGAATTGTTGTTTTCTTCATCTAGAATAGGCCCTTTATATTTAAATACTTTTATTCACACAGGGAGCGGATCCTCTCTACAGAGGCTGCCATGTTTTTTACATTAGTCCAAGCTGGACAAACTAAACACCTTTTGAGTTTTTATGACAACTGAAGACTACCACAGGTTCTCTCTCATGTTCGGGAGGGGATGGTGGGGTGAGGTGTATTCAACTGCAACATGAAACTTCACCACTAGATGTCACTAAATTCTACACACTGAACCTTTACGTTATTATGGCTTTCTGTATTTTTAAATCTTTTGAATGCAACACGTTTTTGACCTTTGATAAATGAAGAAAACACTACCATAATTTTTTATTGATATATATATATATATATATCATGTCAAGATAAACCTTGGTGACATTAATGTAGTTTTTTTAATATTTGCAGCACATTTTTAACAATACCGTGATAATAATACTGAAAACCGTGTTCATGCCGGTCACTGTGATCGCGATATATAATTTATTTTCGTGTCAGACTTGTGTTTGCACCAGTGGTCACAAGCTGCAGGTGGCGCGCGCAGGAGGGGGGCACACGTGAGCGCGCCTGCTCCACCTGGTCCAATCGCGTAAGAGGAAGCTGCCACAGTGAGCTCGTGCTGCGGCTGCTGGTGTCACAGTGTGTGTCTGTCTGTGTGTGTGWGAGTGTGTGTGTGTGCGCGTGTGTGTCCGGTCTGCAGCGACACACAACCTGCAACACAACACATCTTCTCCTCCTCATCAACCAACTCCAGCGGTGTCGGAGCGGATTACGTGTCCGGACCAGCCTTCCTCATCCCCCCCGGTAAGTGGAGCAGGACGCAGCCGTGCGAGGGTGATCGACCCGCGGCTGTGACTCTGGAGAGGAGTCCCCCTGCAGCGTGGAGCGAGCTAAATCTCCTCTGCTGCTGTTTTTACTCATCTAAGGTTGGAGATAGGAAATATCCTGCAGTGCTGCTCCGCTCCTGAAGCACATCAGCGGAGTTGGAGGCCTGGATCTGTTGCTTTGCTCGTGGATGAAGGTGCAAACACAGGAAACAGCTGCTTGTTCTCTGCACTTTGGAGAACTTGTCTCGATCCATTCATTGCGGTTACTATGGTGACCAAGAATGTGGATAAATACAGATTAAAACAAGGATTTTCTGACCTTAAGTGTAAAATATGTTCTAGTTAGAGAGCTTTTCAAATTAGCAGACACTCTTATGTAATGTGATTATTTGTAGGACACTGAAGAAAATGAAACTGAATTAGATTGTTGATTATTTTGAGTCAAGATAAAAGTGCTACCAGGCTGTTACTGCACTAGTGACTTTAAGCTGTAGTAAAACTCTTAATTGTTTTATGGAACTATACTAATGTACACATATATCTCCAATTCTTACTTGTATACAGCCAAGGCAGTTTTTTTTGCAATTGACAGTTCCCTCGCCAGTTTTTATTATGTGGCAGTTTACCTAAAAGATCATTGTTTTATTCAAGAAAGTTGGAAAGCAAAAGTTCTAAAATTTAAACTTTTTAGCTGTTGTTTATCCACACAAAAAATATTCCGGGTAGGAAGCCTCTGATCGAAAATCAGTGACCAAATGTGGCTGTAGTTTTCCTTGCTTGGTGTGATTGATGGATTTAGATTGCCACAACATAAGTGTTGAGGTTCAGTATTTCTCGATTGAGACTTTTATTTTCCATTAAAGTGATTTCTGCAGTAAGAATCTCTGTGCAGTGCTGTGGTGGTTGTTGTGGATTCCTAACAGACCCTTTTACTTCAGCATGTATGGCTTTATAACTCTGCCCCTGTTGGTTTTGTTCTGCACCCCAGACCCCGGCTTCCTTGGCTTTTGTACACTATTATCCGCGCTGAGATGAATTAGAGGGCAATCCATTCAAGTGTTGGGAACAATGCTCCCCGTGGAAAAAAAGAAGGAGCTCGGTGGGTCAGGTCAAGGGGGAGGGCGGTGTCACCCCCAGTTGCTGTGGAGGCCGAGAGTAACATGGAAAACTCAATTCTCTGACGTCACCGCGAGGAGGAAGATATTGGGGGGCTGGGGGGTGGGCCTGATTTATTTGTGTGGGAGCAGGGAGGAGCTGAATAGTTGTTGGCAACTTGGGTCAACTGAAGTGTTCTTTATTGCCCAAAAATCTGTCCTTGTCTTATAAATTCAATTTGAACCTGCAATGAAAAATGTCTGGAAGCAAAGAAATAAAGAAAAAGAAACCCTCCTTTGTGTTTCAATGAGGAAAAACAAGCCCAAAGACGAGGCAAAGAAATAAAAAAATACAAAATGACAATGTGACACCTCAGGGCTAAAACAACAACAGAATATTCCTCTCGAATGCTAAATATTGTTTTGAGGATTTATGCACCTTGCTCACTGGCACAGTCAGAGTGCGTAATGTGATCCGTGCCTGTAAGTGTTGTTTCGGTTGTGTACTCTTAATGAAGCCTGCTCTGTGCCCTTGGGCAAACACTTTTCCCCACTGCCATATAAACATGTTTGCATTCCCACCATGTTTCCGTGCTATTGTCTCCATGGCGACCCTGAGCACCTGCTTTATTTGTCACCTCCATACATTGTAATCACCTGCGTCCCACTCTGTTGCTTGAAGAAGGTTGTCGTGACAGTTCTGCGTTTCCGTGGCAGGCGTTGGTGTAAATCCGCACCAGGCCGAGGCTGTGAAGCCGAGACGCACCGGCAAAATTTGCCTGAAGCTGATCTTGGCACCAGGCTCGGATTGCTGAAGAAACAATTGGAGCTCAGAGTATAAGTGGTCGTGCTACAGGCCAGACACCGATCACTAGAACAAACGGGGGAAGACTCAAAGCTGTGTTTTTGATCTGTAGCCTGGCAGACAAAGTATCCCGTCACCTCCCATCCCTCCCTCCTGCTCGTCCTCACTGAGTGGGTTTGGTTTCAACTGGTTTACTTTTTCTCCTTTGTGTTTTTTATCAGGAGACTCGGTTTTGATAGCTGCTGTGTGTGATGGAAAATACTCTCGGTTTGCTGTGTTCTTCTGTGATCCCTCTTGTCAGGATAAGGCTGCCCATTGCTAAAATCCACAAAAATTGTATTTATAATTTAAATTTTAGTTCATGTATTAAGTTTAGCATTATTTCTGTGTCCACCGGATGAGTGTAATGCAAGTTTATTTATCCAGCAACATTCAGATATAATACAAATCAAAGTGTTTAACAAAGGAAAGATCTTAAGAAGACATTAAACTAACATCTATAAGACAATAAAACAAGACACCAAGGCCATAATAGAAGCATAATGTAAGTTAAAACACTTAAAGGTCCAGTGTGTAAGATTTAGGTGAAAATTGAATGGGTTCTCTCTTGGCCCAGGTCCCATCCTTCCACCAAGTTCATGTGAAAGCATCAAATGATCTGCTGCTGACACCAACAACATTTTACTGAGTGAGATGTTGAAAACATTTTTTTTCTGCTTGGTCAGTTTTTAGGAGGATAAACAGATTTGTTGTTTGTTTGAATCAGATTCTAGGATCTTACAGTTGCAGGTTACAGCTCTCAGGCGTGATGTAACCGGTGTTACAGCGGAGATACATATTCATATTAGTCTTAGCTTGAACCCGTGTGAAGCCGGTTTAAACAGTCATTGACAGGTCAGGCTCGCGTGCTCTGCAAAGTGGCAGCTTTAATCTTTCAAATCTGAAAAACTTGTTTCAGACACAGGCTGTCATTAGCAGGTTTATGCTAAGCTTGGGGGATATGTTGTGTTGGGGGCGGCTGTACCTGCACATGGTCTTTACACAATCCTGCGCTCGCTGACTCTGCAGGTGTTTGATGCAACGTGAGGCTCAGTGACGAGACAGTTTACATTTTAGCTGTCAGCTTATTTTTGCATGTAAGTGAATCTCTATGTGTTTAGAATGGTTTAATGTGCAGTGATTATTTTTTATAGATTTCCTACACAAGTCTGTTTGAGATCAGTGTGTTAATAATTATAGATGAGGGTTTGCCAGGTAGATAAACACACTCACAGCTCATCTTAAATATATAGAAGCAAACCTTAGATAGATATTGTGAGTTTACTGAATTACCAATTTCTGTGACTCTTCTCTACTGTTATACTACATTGTAGAAGTTTCTTAGTATCTCATAATCCTCACTTAAGACCATAGTAGCTGCTGTTTGTGAAATAAACAACAAAACAAAAACAGTACAGTTGATACGCCGGCCATTTTCCTCTGACGTCCCCCTCGGGGGTGGGAAGCTCAAATATTATCAAAAGGAAATTCTTATCATTTCACAACTTCCTGATTGATCAGTAACTGTGAAGACAATGTACGGTGACAATCTGGAGGAACACGGGATCATGGATCTGTCTAACATTGTCCCTTGATACTGTTGGAAAACGTGTTTAAATTCTTAAATACCAATGCACCTCTTGGACACATCGATTTATCCCCAAAGTAAAATGCTCTGGAATCAAGCTTGTGACCAAAATGCTTAACGTTCAATCCAAGGCTGAAGTCCTCCCTGAGCGTTAATGTGACAGAACGTTACCGACTTTACCAACATGTCTGAGTCCAGATGAAAAGACACCACAACATTTAACGTTATATAACGAGCTTGATTACAACCAGTGCATTTTCCTTTCAGGCTCGAGTCAAAGAAGTGCGTTGATATTTCAGAATCACAACACCGTCCTTATCGTGTCATGTTACGGTCA